TAGAGGAGTTTTTGTTTCTTATTAGAAAAACGAAGTGAACTGTTTCAAAATTTTCTGCTTGTAAAACTTCGCTAAGGGTCTCAGAAAAATACTTGGTGGACAGAGCATCAATGATTATTGATGCTTTTGGAGCTATAGCTCAGAGCAAGTCATTTCCTTCCATAGATGAAGGGTTGGTGGAGAAATAGCAAAAATCTGAGGTACTTATTTTGTAACATGCACAACTATTTAAACTCCTGTTTCTATACCAGAAACATTTTGGGTTTTTTTTTTGAAAAAAAATCACGCCTTAGTTGTATCCAAAGCAATCAAATTTATACAGTGCCACCTTTCTCAGATGATATCATGATTTCCCTATGCAAGGACTGCCTATGTTTTTAAGATACAAAATGGCTGACAAGAGAGAACAGAATTAAACATCCTGCTCCAGCATTAAGTGAAACATAATGGTACCTTCTAACAGGGCTACACCAAGGTAAATGGAAGTCCCTACACAGTCATCTGAGACAGCTTGATAAGAGAATGCCTAAGGATGGACACAAGTTCATTAAAATACGACAAGTGATTGATTCCAGCCTCATTAAGGAGAATACATTGTCCCATTAGATGAACAGCACTGGGGTTAGAACAAGGGGTGTAAATCTTAGTCCATGAGACAGTCAGCCTAACTCATCATGAAGCTATGAAATAACAGCTAAAGTTATTTTGTCATTTCTTTGAAGTTATTTGCAGTCTTAAGAAATAGATTCTAGTTAAAGATTCTTCAGATAATCATAGAAATAGATTTCAACGTAATTATAGATACAAATATAAAACCACATATATAGTAGAAGCATTCGGGGGAAAACATATAACGTAGATGTGAAAGTTAATTAGTCGCGGGGAACACTTCCCTCATCTTTAAAAAGATGCCTGGCAGGAAATAGATTGTTTGCAACGCATTAGTTTAAAAAGTGTTAACAGTAGAAGTAGCTATATAACTTTATAACTAACTTTATAACTTACTTTATGACAGAAATTAACATTACGAATCTTATAGCAGATTGTAACTACCAACTGTTTTGTTTATTAAAAATATATAATTGTGACAGTGGAAAATATGAGAGGAATAACAGAATTTGATAGAGATAGCACATGGAATACAATGAATAACAGAATTCAAGCAGTCCTTAGAGATAATCAAGTATAGGACACGCCCAAAGGAGTATAACCAGTAACTTTGGAATGTGAATTAATAGAATGCGTAGAAAGATCCCAAGACCTGGAGATTACAATGTCTGTTAAACACCATGAGATGATGGGAACCTGGGTCTGCCCATAGGAATGCCCATCATTGATTAGGTGTTTCGTAGGATTGAGTGTGCAGAATAAGGGGAAGGAAACAGTGACCATATTGTATGTAGTTATCAATATATTATCTTTCATAGAATCCCTACAGTGTGGAAACAACGAGTCCACACCGAACCTCAGAGCATCCCAACCAGACCCATTCCCCAAACCCACCTAATCTACATACCCCTGAACACTATGGGCAATTTAATATGTCCAGTCCACCTATTCTGTGCATCTTTGGTGTGTAGGAGGACACCGGAGCACCCGGAGGAAACCCACGCAGACACAGGGAGAACGTGCTAACTCCACAGGCAGTTGCCCAAGGGGAAATCAAACCCAGGCCCCTGGCGCTGTGAGGCAACATAGCTAACCACTGAGCCACCGTACCGCCCTATACAAAATGTATAAAAATGCTGCATTTCACTATAAAAATCAGAATGTGTCATTGATCTCTTTTCCAAACTGAGCTGTAGATTAAGGGAATAACTGGGTTCTCATGTCAACACCAGTTTTGGGGAAGGTCTTTGGCTCTCTCCCTACTTTAACTGGTTGTTTCTTGAATAAGAATAAAGTCTGACACTTGCCTGAATCCTGCCTGCCTCTTGAGACTTTGTCCCTGGTCAGGGGATCTGCTCCTACACCCTTAAAAAAAAAAAAATCATTTTACCCTGCTGACTATTTTTGTTGATTTCACATTCTAGCTGAAGCACATCTAACTAGAAATTTAGTACTTAAGAAAAGAAGTAGACCACTTGGCCCTTCAAATTTGCTCAATCGTTCAATGCAATCGTGGCTGATAAGATTGTGTTTTCAACGTCTCTGTTCTGTCTGCCCCCACCTCCCCCTACACAACCTTTTATTCCTTGTCTTTTGAGAATCTATTTCACTCAGCCTTGAATAAATTAAGTGACCCAGCCTCCACCTCTTTCTGAGCAATGGAATTCCACAGACTTACTAACTATCTGAGAGAAAAGATTTCTCATCTCTATCATATTCTCTGTTTCTCCATATCTCTCCACCTTCTTATTCCTAAACTCTGTCCCCTAATCTTAGTCTCTCCTACAAGGGAACACACGCTCTTAGAATCCGTCCTGTTAAGTTCCCTCATGAGCTGTATGTTTCAAAAAGATCACCTTTCATTCTCCTAATCTCCAAATAGTACTAGTCCAATCTGCTCAGTCTATCTTTATAAGATCTCCATTCCAGGAATAAGTCAAATGAACCTTCTCTGAACTACTTTTGTGGAATCTATTTTCAAATAGAGACCAAAATTGTGTACATGGCTCAAAATGTGGTCTCACCAAGGCCGTGTATAGCTACAGTGAAACATCCTGATTTTCATATTCCATTCCCTTTTGCCATAAATACCAGTATTCAAGTTGCTTTCTTACTCTACCTACAAACTAATTTTTTTATGATTCATGAATCAGGACATGCAAATCATATCGTGGCTCTGAGTTCCGCTGACTAAATAGTATACTGGTTGTCTAATCTTCCTGACAAAGTGCACAAGTTCACATTTTCCTCACATTATATTCTGTAATTGCCTAAATAACATATCTATATCCCTTTTGCGGATCCTCTGCCTCATCTTGGCAATTCACTTTCTTACCTACCTGGTATCATTAATAAATTAAGTTACTTTGTCCCCACATCCAATTCGATAATTGATTTAGATTGAATATACTTGATACCCCAGCACTGATCCATAAACAAGAGGAACAGCAGTGGGCCATTTGGCCCCTTGAGCCTGGTCTGCTACTCCAACAGTCACAGTTTGGCAACCCAGCAAAGACCCACTTAATCCCTATTCTCTGTTTTCTGCCAGCTAACTAATCCTTTATCTGTGTTAGTATGTTACCATGTACACAGTGAGCTCTTATTACGCAGTTCAAGTGAAAATGCAACAAAACCTGGGCAATATCCAGGCTTAGACTGACAAATAGCAAGTAGCATTTGCAACACAAAATTGCCAGATAATGACCATCTCCAATAAAGTACAATCTAACCATCACCCTTTGACATTCAATGTTGTGACCATCAGTGAATCTCCCGCTTTAAACATCCTGGGCTTACTACTGGTCAGAAACTCAACTGGACCCGCTTTCCCAGGTGGCACTGCTAGGACTATAGAGCTGCCATCCAATTAGATGTTCAGCAGTATTCTATAATGGAAGAGTTGCCCGAGTAAGTACTGGAATTCTCACATATTTAGCTAAGCATTAAATGACTAAGGGATAACCAAAATCATTGGACATGCAATCCTTGCCTGCTAACATCTGTTAAATTCCAGCCATTAGACTTTCAGCAATTCTGTGACAGTCATTACAGGAACTGATAGTTAAAAGGCCACAGTTTATAGACTGTAGTTCTTGGCAATGAACCACCAGTTAATTTTTTTTTTAAATTATAACTCTTTGAGAGGTGCTGGGCTTCTTTTTCATTATGTTTAAAAAAAATCTCTCAACACCTTTTGTTTGGCTCTTTTCTGTCTGGAAGTAAATTCTTAGCTTTTACATGGAAGTCATCAATTCACTGTACTTGGTAAGTAACTTCAGTTCTTTTCTGTTATATTTATGTATGACTTAATCTTGTTTACGTATGACTTAAAGTTGCCTGTTGATTGTACTATCCACTATCTACAAAGTGAGAAGTCACATGATATCAGATTATAGCCCGACAGGTTTATTTGAAATCACAATTTTTCGGAGCATTACTCCTTTGTCAGTCTAACACCGGCTCCTCCACATCATCTGCCTGCTATTGGGAAATAATTAGCATAATCTGTACACTAAAATGAAAATTTTCAGTTGCAATAGTCTCAGGCTAAGAATTAGACCTAAAATAAACGATTTTGAGAAACTGGAATTCTGCAGTCAGATGAGAGTTCTACTTGGTATAGGAATTAATTTACATGGAGTGAACTTTTTTGAACAACTTCATGTTCTTTTCAGCACAGACCCTTCATTCTCTTCTCCTTATTATTAATTAACATCCTGTGATATAAAAATGCGAATATTTTTTACAATTAACTTGTCCTATTTTAAATTGATTTGCACTTTCTACATTTAGATGGGTAGGTGTCACCACTTTCAGTAATTCCATTGTAATGCAAGTGGGAAAACTATGCTAAGAAATAAAACTGAGTTTATGCACATGCAATTCACAATTCACAAGAATGAAAGCCAAGCCACGAATAACCATGTGACTTGACATTCAGATATGAAAAATATCTCCTTGCCCTCTATCATCAAATTGGCATGAGTACAAAATTTGTTGTTATTTTCATATGTATTCTTGTTGTATGTTGTGCCACATGAGCTGTTGAAATATTGTTAATGATTGAGAAGTCAGTGTGGTATTTGGTTTTTGGCAGCTTTCAAAAGTAGATCAATTTTCTTGTTTCCTTAAGAGTCTGAAACAGCGTTCTTTGTTGCTTTTGGTTGATCAACATTACTGATTTTGTATTTAAAATTAACATTTTAGTTCATACAATTTAAGTAGAATTCTAATTGGTATTATGTTGCCAATCAGTTGAATGATTATTGATCATTCACTGAGCTATCTAAGACATTAATTTAAAAAGTCAAGATAAGTAAGCTAATGATGTACAACTGTATTTTTTTTTGAACCGTGCTTTTTTAAATGTTTTGTTATTTCTGTTTCAGGTCAGACAGTGCTACCGACAGGTTTGGGTAAGTGGTTGCTTTATCTTTATAATGGAAAGTGGAATTTGAAGTTTATTTCAGTGTGCAACATAGTAGGTTTGATGGACTGTACATTAGATTGTGACCTTGTACTACTAAGGCAAGGTATATTGGTGCTGGAAATCTATTCATCAAAATAATAGAAACATGAAGTTCAGGGTGAATATTTGTGCAGTTGTAAGGATCTTAATGCTCAGTGTTTATCTGATGAAAGGTTTGTATTTATCTATTGGTTGTATTAGTAATGATAATTAAATGCTTGATCTGAATTTAGATATTTGAGAAGAACAAATTTCAGCAATAGAGTGCTGTAATCAAATAGTATAGTCTCTGTTACTTGACCATCAATACTGTCTGAACTCAGATAATGCCAACTTCCTGGTTGGAAGTGTGTTTGAGACAATCTCCAACAAGTTTCTAATGGATGCACATCCACACCCAAGTCTACAATTTGGCATACAATATTAACCTCAATCCAGACTAATTATATTTACATCATGGAAAACGGAAATGCTCATATCATTGTTGTTAGTGATGCTTTATTGAATTTGAGGTTTGTAGGCAGAGCATTCATTAGTGTGCTTGAGTCGACATTACATCTGCACTGCAAGCACTGATACTCCTCAGTAATCTTGTCATCTTGCTAAATTTAACGTAGAGGAGAAACATGTTGAAATGCAGCAAGCCCCTTTTGTAATTACCAGCAATGAGATAAGTCAATTTACAATGCTTTAAAATTTATGTTTAGGTAACATAAAATGTACTGGTCAGAAACTGAATTTAATCATTGAGTATTTATTACTTGCATTTATTTCAATCCGTTATGCAGTAAATTTGTCAGAAAGATGAATATGTTTTGTTTGATCTCTTCAATCGAAAGAAAAAATACTGGCTGCTAAGGTTAAATCAAATTGTTAATTCCAAAATTTAATGTAGACTGTACCGGTATCGTTTTCTTAAATTTCGTGTATGCAAGCTACCTGAATTATTTGAAATTGTACTTCACATACTTGACGTGCTTTACTAATGTTATAGGAGATTTGATATATTATTCAAAATGGTACATCCAGTGCATATTTTTGTGTTGTCAAACATCAGAGTCAATCAAATATTTGTTGAAAACTGGGAAATCTGATCATTTGGAATGAACAGATAAACACTTAAGGACTGCAATGTAGTATGTGATAATTTCCCCAGTGTGTTATTTTTACTGACATTACCTTCACAGTTTTTAAAAAGATAACGAAACCTAAGTAACTAATCATCTCTGACTTCTCTGAACATTTACAACACATAGGATTCGTGGCTCCAAAACAACACTGATTAACATTGTATATCAGGACATTACATAGTGCAGGAAAGGATGCAAGAGCAAAATAGATGAGAGGGCCAATCCATGGCTTACAAAGGAAATAAGAGATAGGATCTGATCCAAGGAAGAAGCATACAGATTGGCCAAGGAAAATAATAAATCTGAGGATTGGGAGCAGTTTAGAATTCAGCAAAGCAGGACCAAGGGATTTATTAAGAAGGGGAAAATAGAGAAGGAAAGTAAGCTTGCAGGGAACATAAAAATTGACACTAAGAGTTTCTTTAGGTACGTGAAGAGAAAGAGATTGGTAAAGACAAATGTAGATCCCCTATAGACAGAAACGGGGAATGTATAATAGTGGACAAAGAAATGGATGAGTAACTGAATACATACTTTAGTTCTGTCTTCACAAAAGAAGACACAAATCAGATTCTAGCATTGTTGGAGGATGGAAGTTTTAGTGAGAGGGAAGAACTGAGGGAGATCGATATTAGTGAAGAAATGGTGCTGGGAAAATTGTTGGGATTGAAGGCCGATTAAATCCCCAAAGCCTGATAATCTACGTCCCAGACTACTTAAGGAAGTAGCTCTAGAAATAGTGGATGCATTGGTGGTCATCTTCCAGGATTCTATAGACTCTGAAACAGTCTCTGCAGATTGGAGGGTGGCTAATGTCACTCCAATATTCAAAAGGGAGGTAGAGAGAAAATAGGGAATTATAGACCGGTGAGCCTAACATTGGTAGTGGGGAAAATTCTCGAATCCATTCTCAAGGATTTCATAGCAGACCATTTAGAAAGCAGTAGCAGGATCAGACAGAGTCAGCATAGATTTATGAAGGGGAAATCATGCTTGACATATCTGTTGGAATTCTATGAAGATGTAACTAGCAGAGTTGACAAGGGGGAGCCAGTCGATGTAATGTATTTGGACTTTCAGAAAGCGTTTGACAGAGTCCCACGTAAGAGATTAATATGCAAGATTAAAGCGCATGGGATTGGGGGAAATGTATTGAGATGGATAGGAAACTGGTTAGCAGAGAGGAAACAAAGAGTAGCAATTAATGGCTCCTTTTCAAATTGGCAGGCAGTAACTAATGGGGTGCCACAGGGATCGGTGCTGGGACCCCAGCTATTCACAATATGTATTAATGATTTGGATGAGGGAACAAAATGTAACATCTCAAAGTTTGCAGATGACACCAAGTTGGCTCGGAGGGTGAACTGTGATGAGGATGCAGAGATCCTTCAGCATGATCTTGACAGATTGGGTGAGTGGGCAAGTCAATGGAAGATGCAGTGTAATTTGGATAAATATGAGGTTATTCACTTCGGAAGCAAAAATAAGAAGGCAGATTACTACCTGAATGGCTGTAAATTGGGAAAGGGGCGTGTGCAGCAGGACCTGGGCATCCTTGTGCACCAGTCGCTGAAGGCAAGAATGCAGGTGCAGCAGGCGGTAAAGAAAGCAAATGGAATGTTGGGCTTCCTTGACACGTTTTGAGTACAGGAGCAAGGATGTGTTGTTGCAGTTATACGGGGCCTTGGTGAGGCCACACCTGGAATATTGTGTGCAGTTTTGGTCTCCTTTCCTCAGGAAGGATGCTCTTGCTCTCAAGGGAGTGCAGCGAAGGTTTACCAGGCTGATTCTGGGATGGTGGGTCTGAAGTATGAGGAGAGATTGACTTTGTTGGGATTGTTTTCGCTAGAATTTAGATGAATGAGGGGTGATTTCATAGACACTTATAAAATTCTAACAGGACTGGATGCAGGGAGGATGTTCCCAATGGTGGGTGTGTCCAGAACAAGGGGTCACAGTATGAGGATTCAGGGTAGACGATTTAGGGCGGAGATGAGGAGACATTTCTTCACCCAAAGAGTGGTGAGCCTGTGGAATTCATTACCATAGGAAGTAGTTGATGCCAAAACATTGAATATATTCAAGAGGTGATTAGGTCTGGCACTTGGGGAGAATGGGGTCAAACGTTATAGGCACCAAGCAGAATTAGGCTATTAAGTTGGGCAATCAGCCATGATTGTGAAGAGTGGCGGAGCAGGCTCAAAGGGCCAAATGGCTGCCTCCTGCTCCTATCTTCTATGTTTATGAAAGGGCATGCAATCTTACTCTGAGTTAAAATCTGCTTGTAGTTCACAGAACATTGTGCTCAGTGTTAGTGCTGCAATGGAATCCGAGTTTCAAGATCTGAAACTGAAAATCGCATTCCAACCTGTTAATTAAAAATTAATTGAAATTTAATTGACTCAAATCTTTCCTTATTTAATGACAATCTGAATTTGAAGTGGTATAGAGTACAACTCTATTTCAGGAGAATAGTACATTGTGTGTTATTTAATCCAGTAGCAGCTCTTGAACAGGTTGATTTTAAAAAGAGAAGCAGACCCAGAGGGCTTTTGTGGTCCCTATTGAATTGTTTGGTTCTCCTTGTTTCTAATTGATCTTGGAATGTCAAGATTAATTTAAGATAAATCCGATTGAGAGATGGAATCTCAAAAAAGGAAAAAGCATATGTATTTTTATAGCTGTTTAGAAGTACAGAACTTGAGTATTGCTCACAGGTAAGTTTTTTGTGTAGCTTTTCATCTTGCAATCATCAGGATAATTAGCAAGCATATGAATTAAAGGGGAAATCCAATATTTAAATTACAATATTATAATTTATTTAATTGTAAATATTTAAATCATGGAGTTCTTTTGATTGGAAAGCGGGCTTTGATCAATAGAGGCTTTGCCATGGAAAATGTTGATGATAATTGACAGTTAACTGTGAGACTTTGCTCAAATTTTAAACTAACTCGGTTAGTTAGTTATTTGATTGTAATCAAGGCGTTACCCTGAGAAATGTAGCAGCAAATGACTGTCACTTATTTTGTCAAGCTGAAACAGATACAGTGCTTGAACATATTTTCTCTGCTTCCAAAGAATAGACCCCTCTGTATGAATATAAGTGTAAGAACTCAGAAGCCCAACTGGAAAGGAACACCATTTATTGTTAGACACTGGAATAGTGCCACTACCTGTGGTGTGCATAGGCTAGTCCCAGCTTGGTTCTGCAAACCCATCCCTGAGTCTGTTTTATAGCAGACTTGTTCAGAGATGTTGTTAGACACCTTTGGACCAGGTGGAACTTGAACCCAGACCTCCTGGCTCAGAGGCAGGCATACTACCACTGTGCCATAAGATTCTTACTCAGTACTGCACCTGGTGTTCTCATAATACCAAATACTAGCCACGCCTTAGTTACTGAGACCAGATGAGATCAGACTACTAGTGGGCGAGGTTCTGCGTTACTCTTTTATCTGAAATGTTATCACAAACAATTTTCCCACCACCAATTCACTGTGACATTTTTTTTATTTTTAACTATTAGCCACTACAAATATTCACCCATGCAGGCAATTAGAAGTTTACATGCAAAGCCCATTATAAGCATTGTGAACCATCAGAAGCGGGGGGAGTGGTAGGGAGGGTGGGAAAGGACTAAATCAAAATGGAGTTGCAGGGGAGTGGGTCTGCTTTATATCTTGTGTATTTTCTAATCAGTCTGTTCGGAGACATTGTTACACAACTCAGGAGCAGGTGGAACTTGAACCAGAGACCTATTTGCTCAGGACTGCCACTGCATCACTACAGTCCCTGAGGGTTTGCTGTATATTTC